AAAGAAAGAAAGAAAGAAAGAAAGAAAGAAAGTTCTCTTGGAAGGTAGAGCAGTAGAAAACAAAATAATCAAACTGTCAGGATATACGATGGCAGCCCCATGATCTAAGCAATGCCCTTTATAGGTAGACATATCTTCCAGGAATGTAACACAGCAAAGCTCACCTGCCCAAACATGGCCACCAAGGCATGGAGGTGAAACTGGGCACAGCTTGGAAGAAAAGAGGGAGATGGAAATATTGGGAAGGAGTGGAAATAAGATCAGCTGGAGGAAGCAGATGGAGTGTTTTGTTTTTTCCTTTGTTTTAAAAATTGTAGCATTGATGGGGAGCATTCTTTCTAACCCAGGACTTTGGGGATGGCAGGATCTGGAGCTAAATGTGCCCCTCATGCACACATTGGTTTCCTTTTTACTTTTCCCATAAAAGTCAATGATCTTGTATTTACTGGATGGATCTGTATGGAGAAAGGGAGAGGGCCTGCCAATTACAAGGACCATAGCTATAGGCATTCATACCTACAACAAATCACACATGTTCTCTGCTTACATCTACGGCCATAGCTAAAGAACATTGTGAAAACCTAGAGGTACACCATGTCATAAGGATCTGCAAGCAAAGAATAGTTGATTTAAGCAATCTGCAAGGTTCATGTGAACCTGGCCAAATACCAAGCCAAGAACACTACCAAAAGGGGGAAAATATTTTGTTGGCAAATAGGTCAAAATCAACTAGATCCTTGGTTCTAAAAAGTCAATCCATTCACCTTCCTGAAGAACAAGACATAGTTTTCCTCATCTAACATAACTTTCTGTTTCTAGCTGTATGTTCATGTCCTTTTTACACTGAGAATTAGTGACAAAGTTTTGCAATAGTTAGGCTCCTAATATGAATGTTGTTGGTTTGCAAAGTTGGCCTTCAGTATAAGGGTGAGCAGTTCTGTCCTGAACCCAGTTCCTTTTTACCTAAGCCATGAAAGAACTCTCCACCTCTCTCCCACATAAAGGACTTTGTGTTGCAGAAAAGAAGGAGCTTTCTCTCTCTTGCTGTCTTTCTCGCACCCTTCCTCATCTTCTCATCCCTAGGGTGAGAAACATCATTAATGAAGAGATGCATGCTCTAGCAAATGTAGCTTTCACATGGTTCTTAAAATATGTCAGGCATCCTGCAAAGACCACATTTCCCAGAAAGGTACCACACCGCCCTACTGGCGTTTAAAAAAAAAAATCACAGCAGTGGGATAGGGACTGAAACCTTTGCCCCTTAAGCTCAGGTGGGATAGGGAGAGCAGGAGATGTATCGGGAGGAAAATGAAGAAGGGAGCTACAGGAAGCACTGAGCAGCCACCACTGGATGCTACTACCTACAGTTGCAGGGTAAGACAGTCGGGGTGGGCAGGATGGTTGGAGGAAAATGCATTCAAAACTCATGCAAAAGTAAAACAATTCAGGCATGTTGCAGCGCCTGCCTAACCACTTTCCCCCCTGACTGACAGCCCTGGGAGGCAATACTTATTTTTAGACAGTCTTTATAAAGCCACTGTGGGGTGTCTCTTCTCAGCTCCTTAAGTCATGCCACAGGCTCTTGTCATCCTGCTTCCTTTTCTGACTTGCCTGCCTCCTAGAATAAGAGAGATCAGGTGTATTTGTTTTGGAGCAGCCAAATCCTTGAGATGAGGAGGTTTGTATAGGTCACCAGGAAACTTCGCTGTCACTTATAATGTTGCCCAAATCTACTTTGCATGTGTATTTAAGAGTCTAAATGTATATTTTATGGAAAACAACCTTTGGTACTTTTTGTAATCTATGGGTTTTGGTGGGGCAGGGATGGTATCTCAATGTTATCTTTGGCTAATGTGTGAGTGTGACATAAAACATGGGTTTTATGTTGAGAACTTGCATTTCCTTTCATCGCTGGTACCTGACCTAAGGGAAGAGTTGTAGCTCAGGGACAGAGCATCCACTTTGCGATCAGATGGTCCCTAGTTCAATCCCAGCCCAAAACCCTGGAGAACTATTGTCAGTCATGCTGTATTGATAATACTGTACTAGATGGACCACTGATTTGACTCAGTAATAGGCAATCTCCAGTGCTCCTTTTTCCAAGGGCAAAGGGGCCATCCTTTGGCTAGGATGTGGCAGGTGGTCACCAGGTTCTTTCGCCCGCCCTTGCTACAAGCGTTGGCACTGATTCCATTGGGTGTCATCCATCAATGGCAGCTTTGCCACTGACTTCGCTGGAATGCAGATCATCCCCATTATCTTCAGAACTTCTTGATTTGTCTCTATTGTCTCAGATCAGCCCACCTGAACAAACAAAGGGCAATTTGCATTCACTGGTTTCGGTGATTAGCTTCCTGCATTGCTTCAAAGTTTGCATTGTGTTTGCCTTTTCTGAGTGTTACTTCAATCATTATCTCTTAACTTATTCCGTGCCCATCAGTGTTATTCTTTCCAGAGAGATAATACAGTGTGCTTTTACCATACTAAAATACCAAATTAAAAGAAAAATGGAAATTGAGGAAACAAAAAGAGGGAGGGGAAACCCAAGCTACATTATGTTATGGTATGACACTCTACAGGTTAAAAGCTCACATGATTCAGAAGATGAAAACTGAATACCAAGCGGAGACATTAAAAAAACAAAAACTTAAGTAGTAAAGCCAGATGTTCAACCAAAGGCATGAAGGAATCAACCACATCTGAATTATTATTATCATTATTTGCCAGGAAACTTAATAATAAGAACAGAAAGATCAGCATTGCTTCCCACTTTAGGAGAAATATAATCATCTGTTTGAACCTTTGCAAAGTTTCTGCTGTGAAAAGAGTCTCCTCATGCATGCATACTTATACAGCTTATCTTTATATATTTATGTAGATTAGCTCTTCTGTAAACTTTCAATACATGCATGGATTTTTCAAGCTCTATAAACAAGAATAAAATTACAGAGACAGATAAGTGTGTGCAGAGACCAGTCATGCAACATTTAAAACTCTGCCAAGGGCAATCCTAGCCATGTCTACTCAAAAGCAAGTCGTACTCCATTAAATAACCCTTAAAAGTGGTATACTGTATATGCATAAGCAACACAACTTGACGTATACATGATAAAGCATACTGGGTTGCACAGCACTGCAGCTAGGGCACATGGCAGACCCTGATGTCCTCTCATAGAATCAAAAGCATGTCGGGACCAGCAGGGTCATCTAGTCCAACCCCCACAATACAAGAGTCTTTTGCCCAATGTGGGGCTCAAATCCGTGATCCTCTTAAGAATCTGAGGCTCTACCGATTGAACTATCCCATACTGATACAGATTATACTCATGATATTCATAAGATTTAACAGAAGTTCAGTTATTAGGTGATTTAAATTTATATTTACATTTATACATCCTACCTTTTCTCCAAGGTGGCAGGCGTCCTTCTCTCTCACCTGCCCACTCCAACCTCCATTTTATTTTCACAACAACCCTGTGAGATAGTTTAGGCTGAGAGACAGTGGGTGGATCCAGACATGTCAACGAAGCGATTCAGTTACAAGCACTGTAAACTCATACAGGGAAATCCGGTAGAGAAAGATGGGACTCCATAGCGCTATCTGGTGTCACAGTGTTGTATCGCATATACAACACATATAAAATGCTTTTTCTTTACCAATCTAGCGGAGTCCAGTGACTGGCCCTAGGTCACCCAGTGAACTTCTTGTCTGAGTAGGGATATGACCCCTGATTTCTCAGAACCTTCTCTGACACTAATGACCACACCACACTGTGCTCTGTGGTTGCTAATACATTTCCATCGCAAACCTTTGAGCTGAAAAATGTATTCACCCATTAAACGTCTGTGAACCTGAGAAATTTCAAAGCCCCCTGCATGGTTGTATTGTCATCAGAATTATTAAACAGACTACCTTCTTCACTGACTTTAGAAACCATTAATTTAGAAGTGGCTAATTAATTTCACCTTGCTTAAACCAACAGAGAGAAAGAGAGAGCTTAACAACTGCCCTCTTTAAAACAATTATCTCATTGCTTTTTGTCAGTGAGTAACTGTGGGTTTCTGGAAGGCACTGGAAGGCAATTCCAGCATCTGCACTAACTTTCGCATTAGATGTGGTCTTAACAATCCCATTTCCCCCCCATTCCCAGCTTGTCAATTTTCTTTCAAACTCTCCGCTCATACTAGCTCACGGAGTTACCAAGGCAAAAACCCTCAACATGTGTGTTTAATCATGAAACACATATGGATGCACTCATATGAGTCACTACTACCCCCAATTAAAGCGACTATCATTACCAGGCAGTAATTTGGTCCCACTCCCAACAATGACAGAAGACATTCCTAATTATGAGATGCTTTTTTAGATCCTTTGCAGTCTGCTTGTTTTAAAAGTGTGTAAATATCACCTATTTTCAAAATGGAAAACAAATGCCTTGATTCCTGTCATTTGTGCAGCTCTGATCATCGGTCTTTTGCAGCTGCTGCACTCGTTTCATGTCTATCTGAATAAGAAGGGTTACATACAAAGTCTAGCCATAGCTATCCATGCTCTGCTAGTGGCCCATTTAGACTATGGTATGGGGCTGCCTTTGAAGATTGCCCAGAATTTTCAAGATTGCTGCTGTTGATACAATTTTAACTGGAATGGGATGGTGAGAGCATATCTCACCAGTTTTGCTGGCTGCTGGTTCACTACTAAGCATGGTTCAAAGTGCTGATGTTCAAATATAAAGTCTTCTCTGGCAAAGGGCCAAGCCTGGATCCTGTATTCCATGGTTTTGAAGAAGTGTTGCCATATTTCAAAAAGTTGAGATTTTAAAAAAACAACCAAAACCCCCCACTGAATTCTGAAAATTCCGCCTCTACGCTATTTTCAATGGGCGAATCCTGATACGTCTGGGAAATTCTGGATGTATGGCAGCCCTACACTTGTCTCCACACAGTACACTGTAGGTCAGCCAAACGTATAGGAATATAGAAAGCTGCCTTATATCTAGGCCTCAGGTGGCACAATTGGTTTGTGCATCTGGCTGGTAGCCAGAAGGCTGGTGGTTCAAGCCCACCCAGGGAAGGCTGTGAGTAGGATTCCTTCATTCCAGGGGATTGGACTAGATGACCCTCAGTGTCCCTTCAAACTCTACAGTTCTATAATTCTAAGGCAGACCACCAGTCCATCTAGCTCAATATTATCTATTCCAATCCGAAATTCCAAGGATTTCAGACAGGGGACATTCCTAGCCCCAGGATTTGAACCTGGAGCCTTCTGTATGCAAGGCTGATGTTCTACCACCAAGCTTTTGTCCTCCTGCCTTCGTCTACGAAACTTTAAAATGGGGTGATGGTCCTCCACTGTTGTGTTTTCAATATTCTATTTAGCTATCATGGCTGGCAAGACCCATGTAAGTAGAATACAGATGAAGGATAGCTTTATGACTAAGTTTGAGTGTATAGAACTGACAGAAAGCATGATAGCTTGATAGGTTAGGTGGGACTTACAGAACTCCCACTTTCTGAGGCACTGGCAACCTCCGCCTTCCTCTTAAAAAAACATATGGTTCAAGTCTATGGTTTAGACAATTTGCTGGTGCTGTCACAAAACCTATCCAGTCTGTGTCAGCAAAAGTAATATCCACAAAACATCACCAGATACTTTTCAAATGATGCCAAAATTAAGTCATCGCGGCTACCTTGGAGCCATGATTGTAATATAATGGAGAAAACTGAAAGAGTTGAATGACTTAGTTCTAGCGCTCAGAGCTATTTCAAGATCCTGTAAATGTGAGAGTGGCAATGGATGTTTTCAGTGCCAGAAAGTGCATCCATTTCTTCCTAATGTACCAATTTATATTTCTCGGTGAACTTTAGATTCACTGAGATTTGCTAACACTTTATACCCAACTACATTTGCTGTTTTCCTTTCATGCTATCCAGAAAAATAACCATGTGTTTACCTTGGTTAATGCAGTCACTCCAGAACTGCACTACTATGTCTAAGTGGAAAAGCCATGTGTGTATCTTACACCCTCCATGAACGCCTATGAGACCCTCTATAAGATACCCATCAGGCAGAGGCCTAGTTCACATAAATCCCCCCACTTTTTTGAGGGTCAAGAATAACATGAACCAGGCCCCTTGCACGCTTTGGTATAGGTGACTGTAGGCAGGCTGCTTCACTTGGGGGGCTCTGTGGCAGCAGGGAGGGCTTTACACTGTTCATCACATGGCAGTGTTGCTTAAGATTGAGTATATACATACTGTGCATATGAAAGAAACACCTTTTTTAACATGCTGATGATGAAACAGTGCTGTAGCAGAAGTTTTCATGGTAAAGACTAAACAAAATTACCCCCAAAATTAAGTCAGATGCTGACATGCAGTTCTATACACAGCTGCCCTGTGTGGTGAGCCAGAAGGGTTACAGACCAGAGAGTGTTTCCCTGGGACAGGAGTAGCCAATTTGGTGCCCTCCAGTTGTCCATGGAGTACAGCTCCCATCATCCTTGACCATGTTGGCTGGGGTTGATGAGAGTTGCAGACCAACAAAACATCTGAAGGGCACCAGGTTGGCTACACCTAGCCAAGGAAGAAAGCATCTCAAGGTGCTGGAGTAACAGGCTTGCCACTGATTTCTTTGCCAGGAAGAGGCTATAAAGCATGGGTCAGCAAACTTTTTCAGCAGGGGGCTGGTCCACTGTCCCTTAGACCTTGTGGGGGGCCGGACTATATTTTTTGGGGGAAATGAACAAATTCCTATGCCCCACAAATAACCCAGAGATGCATTTTAAATAAAAGGACACATTCTACTCATGTAAAAACATGCTGATTCCCAGACCGTCCGCGGGCCAAATTTAGAAGGCGATTGGGCCGGATCCGGCCCCCGGGCCTTAGTTTGCCTACCCATGCTATAGAGACTTCCCGTTTAGGCTGGGGCTTTGTGTAGACAACAGTAGTCTATATTATGCCTGTCTAGTTCTGACTCTCAACTTGTTCTACTGCTCTGAATTCTCAGCTCTGATCTTCTGCTTGACTCTTGGTTCCTGACCTCTACTCAGTGGCCAACTATGCCTCAGCCCTGATGATTTCCTTCTCCATGTCTCCTCCTGCTCCTCCCCTCCCCCGGAAACATTAAAGTAATGTCTGACATGATGTCATCATGCTATACTCCATCCCCTCATGCTACACTGGATGCTGCTTGCAGGGGTAGGGACACTCACAGTGTTGTGACATGCCATCATGTCTTTTATAATAGCACAGGTTCTTGAGGGGAATGAGAAGTACAGGACAAACAAGGCTGCTGGTTTGGTGGCAATAACATGTTCCAAACTATATCTAGTTCCAACCTTAGTTGGATACAAACCTGAATCTTTACTTTCCTTTACTTGCGTGTGTTGATTTCCAGTAAGTCATTAAGTGGCAACTTCCCAACTTTAACACCAGCCAGAAATACAGCCCATTTACTGTACAAATTAATGCATTTTATCTTTTTGGCACTAGGCTATTTGACCTAGTTCAGGATATTATTTTACCACAGTTTGGAATAAGGTCTCCGTCTGATTAGGGTGGCAATTGTGACTGATTAAGTCAGCATTGGCAACAAAACAAATGAGAAACACAAGCATGGGGACTCTCAGATTGGCAGGAAAGGGAGAGGCAGACGTCCCAATCTTTAGATCATGGATATGGTTTATTTTGGACAAGAGCCATTGTGATCTGATCTCAGTTCTCATCTTATCAGAGTGGGAACAGGAAGGGATCACTTTATGGCTTATTGTTACTGTGAAGAAATGCAACGCAAAGTCAAGCCTCCAAAATAATCAGGGCTTCCTGGACGTTTTTCAGATATTAAATGTGGGTACAAATAAACATGGTAGTGTGCTTATTAAGAAATATGTTAATGCCATGATAAAGGTGACATAAAGTCTGACAGAAAATGAACCTGAACTGTGTCACATATTGGTCACTATTCACATCAGTGGCCTTAGCTTTCACTACTCTAAGGGAAATTAGATTACCGTGGATTACCACTGATAAATTATTTTTGCAGTTCCACAAAGTATTCTAGAGCACAGACTTATGTATATGCACTTTACTTTATTCAAATACACTGGGTGGAGGTTACCTACAGCCATATCAGTAACAGATTGTCATCAGTGCACAGTCATGTAGTAATAAGGCAACCTTTACCTCTTTTCTACTTTGCCACACTTCATATCGCTAACAAAAGGAAATACCCACCAGCTCATGGCTAGATGCTACAGATAACAGGGAGTTTTGTGTGTACTATGGTAAGCCACTACAGCAAATGGTCATTTTGATTGACACACTGTAGAGGCTAATCACAAAACATTGTAACCGCTTAGAATTGTAACCATTTAGCAAACATTAATTAACAAACAGCTCATGAACAGATCTGCATATCTGTCAGATAGATACTCCCTCTACACAGTTCATTAGACAATTGTGTTATATATTGAGAGGATATCCCATAATGCATAGAAATGTCACAACAGATAGTATGTTCCAAATTCAACAGTATGTGGAGATTGACTTAACTTTCTATAAGCATTGTGCTTGTCACTAGGTTTACTAGCAACATTATTTTAAAAAGGCCATCATTTAGCATTTTGACCAGATATTTATAACCAGGTGAATAGTTTCTCAGACTGAACATTTCTAATGAAGATGCATAACTATAGATAGCACTGGCCAGATTCCATACAACAGTATGGCTAACCTATGGCCCTACAGATGTTGGTGGCTCCAACTCCCATCTGGGACTGATGGGAGCATAAGCAGTGGTCAAGGGTAGATGGGACTTGTAGTCAAACCTCCAACCTCTGGAGGGCCACCTCTATAGTAAGACATAAGCCATGGTTTACTGTACATCATGCCCAGGGACCAAATGTGCCCCACCATGCCTCACTATCCAGCCATCAGGACTCTGCCCAGGCCATATCCCACTCATAGGCCATACTCTGCACCCTCATCTGGTGGTTTTAGTAGGATGATGTGTGAACTGGGCCACTGTGAACAATCTATGAAGGAAAGTAGAGTGGATAGGAATACAATAATGAAAGTTCTACAAAAACGAACAATTATTCATGGTTGTTTTTTAAAATATATATATAATGCAGATGTTAAACTTCTCACTCTGAGAAATAATTCTAATAAAACAATAGGCCACAATGGAACACAGACTTGACCATTGATTGAGGCCACTCACTGAGAATGAGTCGATAGTTTTGAAGATTAGAGCTATGTTTGACATCATACAAGGCACGCAAAACCAATATTCCGCTCTATTTCTTTTGAAACATTTAATGTTATGAATACAAAATCTGATTTATTGGTTTTGAATACAAAATCTTACCTTCTGATAACTTGGGGGAAGTCTGAACAGAGTTGGGATCTATGTCCTCTTCAGATGTGTAATGATAAAGAGTCTGAGGCTGTTTTAAGGATATCCTATTGTTGTCTTCTTTCAGTGCAATGGGAGATGGTTGTGTTGGATTGAACTTGACCTTGGGGAACTTAATTTCCTCATTTTTCTCCTGCAAAGAGTTTAGCCCATGCGATTGAGTCATATTGGACTCTTGTAGGACCAACAACCTGTTTTCTTTCTGTTTGTTGTCTTTCTTCATGTTTAGCTTGATTTTGAAGCGGGCATTTTCTTCTTGCTCATTCCTCTCCCTGTTGGCTGGCTTTCTCCTCTCCACATCTGCCATATTTCTGGGCCTCTCAGTTGTAACCGCAGCTTGTTCCTTCCTAACGCTGTTAGCAATGGTTGTTCGATGATGCCTTTGCTGTGCTTTGGGGGTTGATACCATGCTTGTCGTAGAAATCCTTTCCTCACTCTTTTCAGTGGCGCGACTAGTTTCAGGGTAGTGCAGAACACGAGCAACTGTGGTTGTGGGTGGCAGAGCTTCTGTCGTTGAAGCAGGATGAGTTAATGACGGAGGAGTAACACTGCTGCTTGCAAGGTAATCATAATCCTCACTTTGCTCTTGGCCCATGCTCTCTTGCTCTGTATGAGCCGAATAACTGTAGAACTTCTTAGGTGGCTCTACCTGAGTGGTGTCTCCTTCTGGTGCCTCCTGGTCATAACTATAGGAATCATCATAGTGCCGTTCTGGTTCGGTGTCCCCGGTATCGGATGGGCTATGAGGGTTTAATGTGGATTCATTACAGTCTGGGAGCAGGTAGCACATGAGATCCCCTCCAGAATTGGGGCAGTGGCAAACCTTGCACGGAGGCATGTGGAACGTGTGTCCTGCTGCGTATTTCTGCTCTTCATGGAGGCAGC